TTTGCAAATGTGTTTTGCATACATCAGGTTTTTATGGCTCATATGAAAAAAACAGTTCAATTTTATTCAGAGGCTGATAACGCTGTATTTATATATTGACAAAAATTGATGCAGTTCTGATGCTTGTATGTAAATCAACGAGACCTTCACTGTAAAAAAAACGGTAAACTACTGTAGCTGTGCATGGTTGCCAGCATCATACCGTAAAAATCCAGTGTGTTACTGTTTTTGAAATTAACTATAAATACCGTTTTGTCAGATAAATCTATAACTGTATTAGATGTATCTGACAAAACTGTATTTAGCTGTTAATTTCACAACGTATTTTTGCTGGCAACCATAGCTATGAGAGTTTAACGTTTTTTTTTACAGTAGCCTAGCCATAAAATGCATAAATATCAAAATATGCTAATAATGTTTTAAGATGATATTTAAATTCTTAGTTTTATGATCTGTATTTTAAAACATAATGCAATGCAATACAATGATGATTGAGAGATGAACAAATAAACCTTTCTTTAGGTTTATTTGCCTGATGATCAATCATATTTGATTTTTTTTTTAAATGATCACTGGATAATCACGTAAACCTGATGAAATATTACTAACAATGAAATCACATAGCATATGGCTTCATAAATCCACTGCATTGACCAATCAGACGACACCTAGGCCTATATCACATATTTTGGCCTTTATGTTATAATAATCATAACCTGTTTGTGTAGTGAGCAGCTGAGAGAGGAATGTGTGTGAATAGTGTTCGTGTCTGTGTGCTAAATATACTGTCGACAGCTGCTGTCTCACTCATGATAGCTGCGAGACAGGCTTTCATTGCACACTTTTACTGTCTGTCTGCCCGTGCCCCGTGACGTCACAGAAACACGCTTGTGTTTCTTCCCGACAGAAAGTTCGAGCCAAACTTCGCCCGTCTGCCTCTTTAAGTGAGTTAATTAAAGTCCCGCGGCGTCGGGCACGATATTCCTCTCTGTGCCCGCCGGAGCGTACCGACACTCATTGGCTTTCTCCCTCAAATCCCCTCAGATTTATTAAAAATACCCAAATACATGAATCAGTTCTGTCTGAAAAGGAATCCAGGCGGAGCGGGCACGACGATTTCTGTCACCGTGATTAGACGGAGGAACGGATGCCAAATCCACAGATTGACGGTTTTTCTTAAGGGGCTCATTTGGAGAAAACCAGAGAGAGAGAGAGAGAGAGAGAGAGAGAGAGGCGCGCACACGAGGAGTTCGGTCGACTTTTGTATTCAGCTCGTGTCGCGCGCTCTGACTGAAATTACCGCGCGTCACCGGATTAAACGCTTCTACACAAAAGACGCGTCAGGAGCGATAAAGCCGTGAAGCTCTTGACATTCAGAGCAGCCCGTATAGGTGATGTGAGGGTCCTATGTGTGTGTGTGAGTGTCAGGAGGTGAGGGTCTCTCTGATGTCGGTCGCACGAATAGGCTAACGTTACTAATTAATCCGGTATACCGTATGGGCCGGTTATTAAAAATCCTCCCGCATTCATCAACAACACCTCTAATTCATTAAAAGATGAGTCCTTAATGACTTTTTAATTAGGGTAGTATTGATTCATTCTGCTTGACTGTGGCATGTCAAAATATGCGGCAATCATCACAGCAAAGCTCATGGTGCATTTACGAAAATCATTTTGAGTTTAAGTCGCAATGAAACGGAAGTAGCAAAAAATCTTTTCTTCTGCCTAGCAATCTGTAAACCTGGAACATTTAAAAGGAACATTTCCATGATGTTTGCTAAATTATCAAATGCAATGTTTCGTCAATTTATCCAACACAAAAATATATTTAGTACGTACATTCAGAGAACATTTATTATTAAAGTCCCATTGTAGTCAAAATTGTTAATTACCAAAATGACATATTTAATCATTTTTTTCCTTGAAAAATAAATCTTCATGTCTGTCGTTCTATGAATATGCAAATGAGCCCCACCTCCATTCACTCACTCACTCAGAGATCCACTGGTTGACGATCACACGTTGATCTGATTGGTTACAAGGTCGTTTGTGACGTCAGAAACACCAGCGATTTCAAAGCGTGTTTTTTGAGTTTTAAGGTGAAAATACTCAGCAATGCTGTCAACTTATGAATTTATAAATTATTTGTCTTAAAGCACATTTAAAACACCACACAGACACTTTTAACAACATTAAAAACTTGACTTTCACCACAGGGGGACTTTTAAAGTATTCATTGACAGCTCTCCTGTGTGAACATGATCGTTTTTGTAAATAATATGAAAATAAAAAAAACAGATTCAGTATTCTTCAAAATGAATAAAAACGTGAAATGTGAAATGCAAACTCGCAACTATGTTAAATTACACAAATATTTTATGCTTTTAATCTCATTTTATTAAGTGATGCCTTTGATGATCCAATTCAACCATATACTAATAAGCAATAATTGTGTTTATTACACCACACTTTTATGTTTTATTGATACTAAATGCATATAAACATTGTTTACGATAATATTAGTACAAAATTCTCCTAACCTTAATTTTTACTCGCGATATAACGTTCTTTAAAGGTAATATCCCAATATAAGGTTAATACTCAGCAAATATCAGTAACATCATAAGGACTTTCTTTCTGGTCACATAAGCAGGATCCTCCATTCATTTAGTGTGCTTATTAAGCCCCGCCCCTCAAGCTCACGCTCATCTGCATACACTGAGAGCCACGCCCACATCTCATCAACTGTCTCACTCACTCACTCAACAGTTTTATTTTTCCATAACCCGGATGCACGTCACAATACAGAAGAGCCGTCGCTACTGCCGTTACATCACGACTTTAATCATCAGCACAGGTTTTAATGCATGCGTGGTGATAGAGGTGTGTGGATATAATCAGCTGACACTGACAGGACTGTTGGCTTCATCTCAGCACAGCACAGGCCTACACTGATCTCGCATGACAGGAAGGTTCTTTGTGCAGTAAAGCGCAGCAGCCCGCAGACGCATCATCTGATTGACAGCTGTCACTCCTGATCTCACTCAAGCACTGATGAAGACGCACCGACCATAACCAGATCTAATGCTGGTCAGAGGAAGAGGAGGAGGAAACCCCAGCGGCATCTGGCTACACTGATTCTGTAGACACATGAGAGGCCCTGAGTGCACACACACACACACACACACACACACAATTTCAGTCAGTTCGAACACACACCCCTGCTGTACAGAGTAATCAGCACCGCATCTGAAAGACCAGCAGACGTCAACGTGAAGTCCTCATGATGATAGAAACACACTGATATGTGGACCATCATCTGAGCCGCACACACACACACACACACACACGGCACGGGCCGCACCATCTGTCTGTAACGGCCTCACCGAGAACAAACTGAGAGAGAGAGAGAGAGAGAGCGCAGAGCCAAGCAGAAAAATCAACGACAGCCTTAAAAAAATGAGTGTGATTATCTACATCACAGAGTCAGCAGTCTGTGTGTGTGTGTGTGTGTGTGTGTGTGTGTGTGTTATCAGTGAGCAGCTTTAGAAGGGGATGTTCTTCAGGACGACCACACACACTTAGACACTCAGACACACAAATTCACACTCACTCATGCACACACACACACAGACACAAACACACTCACTCACTCACTCTCTCTCTCTCACACACACACACACACACAGTCTCTGCCTTTTTCAGGACTCAGGAGAAACACATCCAACTCATACTTTGTATTTCATCCCAAAATTAAAAGAAAGAAATAAGAAATTACATTTTGTCTGGAATGAATTATTAGTGATTCTCATTAGATTCTGTTTATTAAAAGCATTGACAGTTGAATGAGAATTTGGGGGAAAATGTGTTAAATTACATGAAAATAATATTCCTATCATCAGCATAATGCAATCTTAATCTCAGTACTGCACTAAAATGATATATTATCAAAACTGTGAAGTATTTATACATCGCACTATAATAGTGCTGTGCTTTAAACTATTACAGTATTTTCTGCAGTGTAATCCATTAAAAATATTACAGTTATTAGAATCACAAATTGAGAACATAGATAAAAAATATTTAAAACAAAGATAAAAATAAGATATAAAAAAATCTAATATAACAAAATTAAAACCATAAAATATAAAATCTACATATATGACAAATTAATAATTAAAAAAATATCAATGACCCTAAAAGAGGCATTTGTTTTATTTATGCAAAATAAATGTTTGCTTTTGATTTTGTGGTGAAAATGAGACGATGAGCCGATCGTGACGTAATATACCGATGCGAAACAAAAACAAAACCGTCAAGGAACGTCATGTTTTATTCTAAATTTGTGGTCTTATGTCTTGCAAAATCATTTTAAATCAACTTTGCATATGGTATTTTCATATAAGTTAATATATTAATAATAATAAAAAACTGCAATATTCCCTTTAAACACAGTAAACGGAGCAGGTGAAGATCTGTCCCGCTGACACAGAGAGAGAGAGAGAGAGAGAGAGAGAGAGAGAGAGTCTGCAGATGCTGATTTGCTGAGTTCGCCGCTCGGTGTCTCAGTCCTGCAGGAGATCTGGATCTGCTGACGGGAGAAACTCATCACACACACACACACACACATTCACACCGGAGCCTAAACCACCGGCATCACGGGACTCAATCATGCTGGGGACGATTCGAGTGTTACCGTGATAAAGGCATGAGTTCATCCATGCATAAAAACAGTACAATGGAGGAAATGTTGCATTATGGGAAATCATCCAGTCTCATTTGCTCTGATTTCAGCGTTAATCTGCTGAAGGGGTTAAACATGGGAAGTGTTCATATCTGTGACCTGCTCAGAGGAGGAGAGGAATCGTGTCTTTGTGGAGTTTTTTGACTGTCCAAATCAAAAATGTGAGAAAAAGTGACAAGATCCAACCAGACACTGTTTGTGGATTCAGCATCACGAAACGAGAAAGAAACAAGTACTGGATTACAATAGACGTCAAACTTAAGTCAGATTTATTTCTATAGCGCTTAAAACAACACAGACTGTTTCAAAGCAGCTTCACAGTAAATAACAGGAAAATAACAGAATTGATACAAACTTCAAATACGAGAGTATGAAACGAGTTACAGAAGACAAAAGTGACTCAGTTCAGTTCAATATTGACCACGCTTACATAATGCATCTGTTTCGTAAACATCTTGATGGCACTGCAGTTCCTCCACTGGCCACTAGAGGCGCTGCAGAAGAGACTCACTCCCATAGACCCGCATGTTAAAATGCCCAACTTTACAGCAGAATAAACATGTTCACAGTCTGGTGCAAAAACTGGTTTTGGTCTATATCGCTAATTTTGTCCTTCATGACGACTGTGAGGGGGGTGAATATTTTTATAACTCATCCATTTAAATTATATTAAGTCTTAAAGTTCTGCATAATTAAGGAGTGACAGGTGGATTGCCGCTGATGTCACTGCTAACGTTTATCTGCTAGTGTTAGCATCACGTCACCTCAGCTAATCCGCCTCGCTGCACATTTTCGTTTATCCGGAAGTGACGCGCGACCAAGAGGGTGACGGCTGGCTCCGCCCACTTTGGGCTTCAAAAATGTTTTTCAGAAACACTACGGGTGACGTCATGCATATTTCTTTACAGTTTATGGGTTAGACGCCATATTGAACTTATTACATAATGTAAGGGACAGTATCCCGGTTTCATCAACGCATGTTCTCGCTAGACTCGAGAGCGCTGCGCCACCGACCGGTTCCTCTGCGAATACACGAGGTCCGCGATGTAAAGCGAGAGGTTGATGAAGCACAACACGGCGACGGCGAGCTTCACGTCCCACGAGCATTTCCCGCTCGGGCAGCCCTGCGGTCGTAGCGGAGCGCCGTACTTCCGGTCGAAGCTAAACACGGGCCAGATCACAGCAGCGCTAAAGTATAGCAGCACCGCTACGAACGTGTAGACGACCACAACCCGCTCGAACGGCAGTCGGACCGCCGCGGTCCGACCCGAGACCGTCAGCGCCACCAGCAGCACCGACACGGCGAAACACACGCCGAACACCGACACACAGTAAACCGTCGCCACGTGGCGTGAGAAATCACTCCCATTAGCTAGCATCACAAAAATCACGCATGCTACGAAGATTTGCACCACTTTCAGGATGCCGGATGGAGTCGCCATGTAGCCGACGGCACGACCCGGTTTAGCACGCGACAGAAAAACCTCAGTCCCGTACGCGACGCACGCCGCCCACGAGCACACGGTCACCGCGATACGGTAGTTTCGTACGTCGCAGTTGTTGAAAGGACAGTCGTTCGCACGCACGAAGTACACGGGATACATGACAGACGCAGTTAGCGTTAGCAACACGGCTAGAGACGCGAACGTCACGGTCAGATTCTCCCACGACAAAGGGAGACACGCGTGAAGGCGGGTCACGTCCAGCACGAACACACACGCTGTGATGGAGAAGCACGACGTCCAAACCGCCATACAGAACGTCCCGTAGGTGGCGCTATAACCGGCGGCGTGGATCACCATAGAGACGACGGCGCAGCACAACGTTAGCTGACACACACGCGCGGCACCGATCGGGGAAAACACGCCCGCACCGTTTAAATAATGTCCAGCGGAGGCGCTCATGTCGTGACGTTTGGTTACAAAGAGCTCAGACGTCAATCGGCTCACCAAGACAGCCTCTATTTAATCAGAAATACAAATATTAATATTGCTATTTAAACTGTTTTCTATTGGGATATATTTGAAAGTGTCATTTATTCCAGCTCCGTTAAATTTCTTATTATCAATGTTAAAAACAGTGGTGCTGCTTCATATGTTAATAAAAATCAAACTTACTAAAAATGTATTTAATTCTAAAAAATGTAATGTTTCTAACTGAAGTCAAACACTAAAAATTAATAATCATAAAACATAAATATATAAAAAAAACACTTAAAAATGTATTAAATCATAAACATGTAAATGAAAACAAATAAAACTTAAATTAAATCATAAAAATGTCAAATGAAATTAAAATAATTTTAAAATGAAATACAGTAAAATGTATAATCATAAAAATATATATATAAAAAATATATGAAAATAAGCACTTTTTAAATTATAAACATGTAAAACAAAAACGAAATTAGGTAAAAAATAAAATAAATAAATGTTAAAAATTAAAAGTGTGGAATTCGTGATACTTTTTTGAACAGAAAGTTCAAAAGAACAGCATTTATTTGAAATAATCTTTTGTAACAATGTAACATGTGTCCTTGCTGAATAAAAGAATTCAAAACTCTTACTGACCCCAAACTTTTGAGCAGTAGTCTATAGTATAGCGTTCTATGATGGCATGTATGTGCAGATCAACAGGTCCAGGAAGGCTCGCGTCCGTCAGGTTCTGTGGATCTGCTCATCTCAGCTGAAGTGATTCGGGCTGACGAGTCCTGTTGGGTTTCCAGTCCCACAGAAACAGATTCCTGGCAGTTCTTCTCCTCGGGGTGCATGAAGTATTTCCGACTCTATTTTGGAGCGCGTGACTCACTATCTGTCAAAAAACAAAACCGTCAAAATAGCCAGAGACTCACAGAGATCATTACCATCAGATCCATTATTACCTCCCAGATCCAGCAGAACCGGTTCCGAGAGAAGACCCGATCTGTGTCCACTTTCTCCAGACTGAGGGTGTTTCTGTTCCTCGAGGAGTGTGAGGCTGGAATGTGCAGAAGCACCTGTGAAGGAATCGCAGTTATTCTATATATAAACACATTTAGACACACACACACACACACAGAGAGAGAGAGTCACTCGGGGTTTCCAAGCATGCATTTTGAGAATGAAGGGTTAAATATCCAGGATTACTGACTATCGAGTTGCACGGAGCGTTTGTCGTGGTTCTGAGAGGGATCCAAAACTGTGAAACAACAAATAAAGGAGATATTCTGAACGCCTGAGTTTTTGTCCATGAACTTCAAATATCATTTTGAATGCATTAAAAATCACTTTTTTATTGCCGATCTGCGAAGAGCTTGTAACAAAACTTAAATTACTCCTTCTGTCGTCTGATGTTTAGCTATGTGAAGGACTTGAGTCGTTTTTGCCGGGAAATATCTAAGCATGACGTTTCTGAGACTAAGAAGAAACTAACGAATGCTTATACAATGTTCAGGATAATAAGCTGAACTAATAAGCTAATGTGTGTGTCATGGATTCACTCAAACAGTCTCAAATATACTTTATAATCATATATCATAACAGTGTGATTATAATGAGCTCATCTGTGGACATGATGATGCTGTAAACACACACATCACTCTTTCTGAACTTCTGCTTTCTCATTTCTGTGTTTATTCTGTTATTGAGAGGAATATCAGCACTTGCATATTCATCTAAACGTCGCTCTCAGCAGTGGTTCATGTTCGTTAACAGTATATATCGCTACTAATACTATTTACAACTTCTAAGTAAAGAACTAAATGATCTTCACCATGAGTATATTGTGTCTTGAATGTGTGTTACTGTTCACGAGCAATAAGAGCTGCAGTTCCACTGAACGACCGCCGGTGTCGCTATAACACGGGTCTCTGAACTCTGCATATTCCTGAGCATTTAATGCATTAAAGTTCCCATTTTATGTTTCCTGAGTTGCCATTATAATGTTAGTGTGTTTTTAGATTTATTTTATAGAAATAAAAGGCATTTTCCTAACCTGATTTTAGCCTCTGACTTGAACGCTCTGTTTGAAGGGGCGTGTCTCTGTGGGATTCAATGTAACCGCCCTCTGCTGTGATTGGCTGTGAGTCTTCAGTGTGACCAACGGGATAATCTATGATTCATGCAAAATCATTATTATAAAGTCATACATTGTAATTTGACAAAACAAAACATTAATATGGGAGAGACAATGACAGGTGAACTTTAGCTTCGGTTGAAGTTGACTTGCTTTTATATTTTTATTAAAATATATTTTATCGGACATTCTTTTAACAATCCCGCTGCAACTGTGACTCATTTACTGAATAAAAACGTAACAGCTGTAAAAATGTATGACAACAAAAACACTGATCATCACACCAGAAATAAATATACTGGAAAGTTAAAATTGGAAACATATTAAAAGTCACTTTCCGTTTATATCATCATGTTCGGTCAAGCATGTAATCCTCCTTCTCAACAGCGACTGATCCTCCTGAGATAGTTTTTTAGCGTTTTATTTTTTAATTATTATGTATATTTGTTTAAAAAACAAATAATTATTATAAAAGTTTTTTTTTTGTTGTTGTTTTTTTTACATCAATTGCAGTTTTGGTTATTTTAGAACAAGTTATACTAAATAAACATGAGGAGCTACAGTTTCGAGGCAAGATCAAATAGGTACGTTTATTACATTTAGTATGATTTTATTTTCAATTAATATTTACTTCATTTCAAGTAACCGTTTTTAGTTGTAGTTAAGGATAGTAACCTGGTCCTCGTAACAGTTTGACTCCTGTATAAAGATTTATACCATGGTCTGGGTGAATACTCGATTCTGATTGGCTGCAGGGTGTCCGTTAAAAAGTGATAGAGGACACCTAGTAAAGTAGTTCTGGTGAAACTGCCTGTTTACCATTCGAAATGAATAAATAAATGCGCTGCCCACAACGGCTGTGAGTAACCATAGCAACAGGCAGTCACATGCTCTAGCTCTATCATCTAACGTTAGATATTATAGCCTAATACAACAATGAGCGACTTCGTGCTATTTCTTTTAACATTTATGGAGAATATGGCAACTTTGACGACTGGTATGCTGCTGAAGAAAGAAAAAATGTAAATAAAACGGAGAAAATTACACCGCTGCTGCTCTGCTCCATTGAACTCTATTGGTAACGACGTAACTTGCGACCATAGTTGGATAACGATGCTTTCGGGAAACGCACCCCTGAATGAGACCCTGCGGGAGTTTTACGCAGCTGTCCAGACAACCAAGGCAGGAGAAGGCTGAACGTTACAGCGTTTCAAGCCTAAAGAGCCTGAGGCAAATGACCCTCTCTTTGATCTGATTAATTTATTGCCCTCTATAACGTTAAGCGCAAATCGCTGGAGATCAGAGCTAATTGTTTTCTTATTGTTGTTTGATTAATTGTTTTATGTGTAATAAAAAAAAAACTATGCCTACATTTGTGTTTCATGAAAAAAAAATGCCTTTGTGAACCTGAAGGGATACGAGCTAAGCGGACTATATCTCCGGTTGCTAAATAAACAGTCAGGCAGGCAAGGCAAGTTATTATTTGTAAAAACTAGATTTAGCCTAATTAAAATATAAACTAATGTTTTATTTCGCAAGTGACCATGGTATAAGCGGGTTAATGCCCTCCGAGGTGTCCATTGTCAGGTTTTAATGGACTTCGGCGGAGGCAACCGTCCTCCGCTGCGCGTCGGCCGGTTTACGCCTCGCCGTCGTCCATTAAAACCTGACAATGGACACCTCGTCGGGCATTAACCCTTACATATTTGACATCAGCGCCCCCTGCTGTTCACTCGCTGTACTATCGTCTGGGGTCCTGTGACATGACTGACAGATGCCTCATATTCTTTATAATGGTCATAGTTATAATAATTCATTTAACTATTATTATAACAGGATAATGATCATTGGTATATATATATATATATTTATTTTGGTGTGTTTTTAATTAAGTTGGCCAATGAGACAGACACCATACTGTCCAACTCAAAGGTATTTTTTATGGATTTTTTTTTACTGAAATTCTTTTTACTTTCAAATGCTGAATTCAGGGGGTCGACAACTTTAGGCACACAAGTTATTTTTCACAGATATCTGTCCAGTTTACTCATGGCTCATACTCTTAGCCTTTAAAATGTTTGTAGGCTAGCCTATGTATATCCGCAATACTTTATCAAGGTGTAAAGATATCATTAGAGTTTTTAAAGTTATGGCTATGCTCTTGTTACCAGATGAGATATCAATCATTTGACTCTGTGATTCTTCAGGACAAGATCTTGATGCCATCCACACTCAGTACCTGACGGAAGGTGATTTTCACAATAGCTGCCACTATCACAAACCAAGAGACCGAACACAACAGGCCTTCATCCATATAAACTCACCCATATAGGTTCCGAAATCCGGTACATCCGGTTCAAAACATTGAACGGGCCCTGGGGCCAAATTAAGGAGGACCGCAGTATCGCTCAGATGTTATCGGTTCAGCTGACAGTACTGAAGAAATTACACTCACTATTGTAGACATTGTCTTGCAAATTCTGTGAGGATTAGGAGGGGTGTTTTAAACAGTCTTCATACAACATGTGTTTTTCAGGCTGGTTGTTTGTCATTTTGTAAGAGTAGAGAGGTTGTACCTCAGTAAAGACTTATTTTACATTCGATAATTCACTTTCCGTACCTGAGAAGTTAGATTTTCCTAAAAAAACATCATGCACTACTTATTCCAATTGTATTTTTCTTCTTTTGAATTTATCTATGCTTGAAATTTCTTTATAATTTACAATGCAGATTCACTCCTCTAAATAAAAAATCTCTTGAAATTTGTTTTTATATCGCAATATATATGAAGAGTTCAGATGCAAAAGCCTCTAAATGCCATTTGAAATTTTCTTCTTTAATGATGATTTTTATCAAACTTGTATATTTAAGTTAAGTTATTTCACTTAAATGGCAATGATAATTACATATTAATTGTTATTGAAGTGAAATTACTGAACTTAAATATACAAGCTTGATAAAAATCATCCTTAAAGAAGAAAATTTCAAATGGCATTTAGAGGCTTTTGCATCTGAACTCTTCATATATATATATATATATATATATATATAGCAGCAGATAAACAAAATATTTTATTTAAGGTTTTCAATCTAAACCAATTTA